GGGGGGGATTCCAGAACCAGAACTGATTAACTGCATGCATATGGTGAATTAAAATCTACATATGATTTAGATTTATTTTGATTTGGCATAAATTAGGTTTTTGAATCTACACGTGCTAAGCTAAAGGAAAAATTTAACTGACAACACTTCGAAAGATCATTTTTATTATATTAAATTGAAACTGTAAAACCAGTAAATTGTAGAAGCAACAAAAAGTCAGTAGAATATAATTTATTGGACAAAATAAATCCTGGCTTAGACGGATAGCAGAATATCTTTGAAATTTCATTTTTTTTCAGGAGAACATCGTGTAGCAAAGGACAAAGAATAATACAAAGTATAAAAATTGACTAGATCTGTAATAGATCCAAATCCAAATGTGAATTAAAATATTCCAAGCCAATGAAACAATGCATCCAACCCACGAATGATTCATTTTTGTGTGTGTCATTTAACAATGTCAATTATCATTACCTACTAAAATATCAGCAATGATTAAGTGGAAGAAGCATGCATCACCCTCTCCAATTTTGGAAATAAACCTTTACCACAATAGCATATAAGTTGTCGGCGGTTTGGTCCGATGAGGACTACCTACCCTCATTGTTGGGTTAATTCTTCTTTTTTTTTACCGCCATCTGATATCCGAATTCTAGTACTTACTGTCCGATTAATTTAGATTAGCGTTGGATAAACACACTGACGCGGTAAAGCGTACCTACATATATGGCCTTGCATTAAGTATTTTAAGCTTGAAATTGAAAGTAAAGTAGAAATGTTGTCCACAAAACAGAAAGACAATTATATCAAGATTTTATATAGAGAACAGATTAGCTATTGGACTCCTAATCTCACTAGCATTACTCAAATTATCATTATCTAATATGAGACTTTAACAGCAAAAAAGATTCTTTTGGTTGTATTTGATTGTAACACAATTCCACAACAAACTGAAAAGCATTAGGCTACCCAATATCTCCAAGTATAGAATGTAAACGAATGAAAATAGGAAAAACTATATTGTATTGTCAATCTAAAAATTAATAGTTGGCAAAATATATATATTTTTTATATTAATATAATATATATNTTTTTGGCTGATCGGCCAAATATATAACTTGCCCGTGAAAATATCCATTGATTGATCAAGCATTCCAAGTTGTACTAGGAGTATTAGTTTTAAATGCAACAGAAATAAACCCCTAGTCATTTTGTAGTCATCAGTAACCAACAAATGCCCAAGATCTCAATCACCCTGATAAGTTGTCCATTTGTCCGAGTCCTTTTTTTATAAATATAAAAGATATAATAAGCTGTCTAGTGTTTTAATAAGGAATATGTAAATATGCCAGATTAATTACCAGTGACATTGAACCAAATTAACTACCCAAACCTTGTTAAACCTTAATGTTGAAAACCCAATAAAGCGTGGATTCCTTCTGGAAGCTTAATCAACAAACCAAAAGTGCAATGTCAATTAAATGATGCATTCAAGAGAAGGTTGTTGGAGAAAGACAACCAAATACTTGATTGAAGAAGATACAAAAGAATAGAGACGCTTCAATAAATATGGTGGCCTAAAGAAAAATTTAATTTGAGGCCTTAACCTTTTTGCTAGAAAATAAAAAAGAACTTCATATATATATATATATATGTCCCAAGAGAGATTAAATGGATTAGATATTTTAGAATTTCAAAAACAAAATATTAGAAGAAAACAATTATAAAAATTATTAATAACTTTGCACATAAAAAAGTTATTAATAATTTTTATAATTGTTTTCTTCTAATATTTTGTTTTTGAAATTCTAAAATATCTAATCCATTTAATCTCTCTTGGGACATACTTTCTAATTTAGGACTTTTAATTTATTGTTCGTTAAAATTTATCAAGGGCTCTTTTTGGGATTATATTAAAGTTTCAATCTTTTTTTTGAATTATGAATAATTGAATTCGTTCTTAATTTATGGTCTAGAGACTGATTCCCAAAAAGACTATTCCTTTTCTCAATTTATGCTCAACGGTTCAATTTTTTTTCAACTATGAAAAATTGTACTTTCTAATTTAAAACACTAAATATTATTTTTAAAACAAAATAACATATAGAGTTATTAGAATAATTTGGGGGCCCAAAAAAATAAGGGGCCTAAAGCAGCTGCTTTAGCAGCTTTACCCTTGGGCCTGCATTACAAAAGAATTTAACTTACACACTGAATTTTAACCTGTTTTAGTAGTTTGCTACCTAATTTCCAAGTTACTAATTATACTCGTTATGGACAAGTACCTATAGTCAAAGATGAATGGCTTCTATGTTTCAAATTAATAAATTTGTCCCGTAAGATTCTTAGTATTGAACTCTTTCTACTTTTAACATTATGGATTCAAATTTAATATTTTAAATTTTAGTAGATTTCATATATAAATCTATGTTCCACAAAAAAATACTTGGTTCGGATGAACCTCATACATGTATGTTACATATATCCCCTGCTTGTAGTTATCTTTTAAATGACTTGATAGTGTTAGAAACTCTTAGTAATCTCTTTGTAGATGTAACCATTAAGTCCACAAAGAATTTAAGTCCCCTTTGATGAAGTATCTAGCAAGTCATCTGATTACAGAAAGAGTCCAATATTTGCGTGCACGAGCTAGCCATCAACAGACGGACATCCTTTTACCGCAGTAGGGATGGCAGTGGGGCGGGGCC